GACCTATATTTTATATACCAATCCACACAGGTTGGTGACCTTTACTACCCATGACGTTTTTACTAGGTGCCCATTTAGGGCTAGGCTAGCCTGGGAGCCAAGGTAAGTTCTGAAGAAAGATCGGCTCTGTTTGGATTTGAACCCAGGATCTTCGGAACTGCAGGCGAACGTCTAATCTCTACATCACGAAAGCTGCCCAATATAACTAAAGTATAATCATTTTGTGTAGTCTATGTGGCAGACACACCCACATGACATTAACAGCAATAGCAAACATTGTTCCCAGAGCCAGCGACACAACTCCATGGTCCTTACGACTGTCAGATGCCCGCATATACTGTATATTTCTAGCACACATACATAAGCCCAAATCTACAGAATAACAATCACATATACACGTAACACATTTCACACATGTTCTACATACCAGACGTTTTAGAAATGTCGGTATACGGAGTTCGCGTAAAACAAGCGTGTCCGTGTTTGTGTAATTCATCGTCCCTTCACCGACAGTTTGTCCTTCCACTGTAGAAACCAACATGATCTCGAATAGTCGTTGTCTAATTTAGGACTGATATTTTTCCCGCTAAATATCACACGCAACCAGATCAAGCCGTATTTAGCGAATGTACTTCTGTAACGTCAGCATATAGTACTTTGATTATTTTCAACAGTAATTGCTGTAGTTGTTGTGGCTGTGTTTCTCGATAAGAATACAGCTTTATAGTTAATAAACAAGTCTCTCTATAGGAAAACAGCTTTATAGTTAATAAACAAGTATCTTGGTAAGAATACTGCTTTATACTCGCAGTTAATAAACAAGTATCTTGGTAAGAATACTGCTTCAAAAGTAATAAGTCCCTGGGTGAAATTACTGCTTTATAGTTAATACACAAGTCCCTTGGTAGAGTACTGCTTTATAGTTAATAAACAAGTCTCTTCGTAGAAAACTGCATTATTGTTAACAAACACGTTTCTTGGTAAAGTACTTCTTTATAGTTAATAAATAAGCCCCTAGTTAGAATATTGCTCAATCGTTCATAGACAAGTCTCTTGGTTAGAATACTGCATTATAGTTTAAAAAACAAATCTCTTGGTAGAATACTGCTTTATAGTTTTTAAGGGGTCACTACACCAAAGAAATTAATTTTTTTTTATTTACAGTTAGAGCAGTTATTTTATAATGGTCATTTGTAGGGATACATGTTATTACATTTGTATACTTTAAGTTAAAAAAAATCATAGTTTTCATGACAATAGCTGCCATCGTGTGAAAAAAACAATATGTACTTAGGATCCTAAAATTTTAAAAACAAACATAGGTATTCAACAATATATGCTGGATTCATTATTTGTCATCCTACTTACAGGTACAGGTCTAGTTTATTTACTTTAAACATGTTTTTAAATAATTTTCGTAGAATTTTAAGATGTAGGTTTATTGAAAAAGTCACAAAAATCTAGCATTATCAGACAATAATCAAATTTTAAAAACAAAAGCTTCATAAAATCTACTTTTAGATAGACCAGTCCCTATAATATTGTTTACGAAGTATGCATACAAAATTTTATGTTTCTACTCTTTATATTAGCTTAGATTTTAGGATTTCACACACACAGCAAACTGAAATACAGAGATTTAAGAAAACAAACTTTTAAACTTTTTTTTTTTTATCTTAAAAAAGTGCATGAGGAGGTGTCGTTAGTATTAACTTTTGAATGCTAAATTGTTTACAAATGACATACATTTTGTGTGTCATCTATTCTACGAATGCCGAACTTTACAAAAACGAACACATTGAAAAGTGATATTTTTGTCATAAATTGGAAAAAATGCTGTGTAGTGACCCCTTAAAAAAAGTCTCTCGGTAAAAATTCAGCTTTATAGTTAGTAAACAACTTTCTTGGTAGAATACTGCATTATGGTTTAAAAAAAGAAAAAGTATGTTGGTAGAACACTGCTTTATACAAGTACATGTAGTTAATAAACAAATCTCTTGGTAAAAATACAGATTTATAGTTAGGAAACAGTCGGCTCTGGGGCTAAGTCGATGCGAACGCTTCGTAATGCCGGGATGCCGGGTTCGATCCCAGCTGTCGGTCTTGCGCATTGCGTTGGTTTCGACAGTGATATCAAGAAAGCCGACAGTTCAGAGAGCAATGGCAAAATACATGACTGAAAATTTGCCTAGAAAAACCACACAACAGCCAGGGGCTGTTGGGGTTGGTTCTACAACGTCCTGTAAAGGGTAGGCAACTAACCCTTAGTTAGCAAACAAGTTTCTTGGTAGAATACAGCTTTATAGTTAATAAACAAGTCTCTTTATAGAATATTGCTTTATAATTATTTAATAAGTCTCTTGGGAAAATATTGCAGTATTGACTAAAAAGTATGTAGGTAGAATGCAGCTTTATAGTCAATTAAAAAGTCTCTTGGTAGAATCCTGCTTTATAGTTAATAAACACGTCTCTTGGTAAGAATACAGCTTTATACTTATAGTAGTATTTTAGCAAGAATTCGTTTATATTTTATGTCTATTAGCTAGTAAACAGGTTTCTGAAAATACACTTTATACTAGTAGGTAATAAACATGTTTCTCGAAAAGAGAACAGGATTATACTCGTAGTTAAAAAATGCATTTTTTGGGGGGTAATAATACGGCGTTATACTTAAACAAAGCTAATAGTAAAAATACTTTTTTTTATAATTGTACTTAATAAACTAGATCTTCGGTACGAATACATCTTTATACTTGTAGTTAAAAAGCAAGTCATTCGGTAAGGTTACTACTTCATATTTGTGGTTAAACAGTTATCTTGGTAACAATACTATTGTATGTTCTTAGTTAATAAATGTTTCTCGATAAGAATACTGCTTTATGCTCGTAGTTAATAATCGTGTTTCTCGATGAGAATACTGCTTTATGCTCGTAGTTAATAATCGTGTTTCTCGATGAGAATACTGCTTTATAGTTAATAAACAAACGTCGCGTTAAGACGACTGCAATAAATAAACAAGTCTTTTAGCAAGGTTACTACTTTATATTTGTGGTTAAAACAAGTATCTTGGTAACAATACTATTGTATGTTCTTAGTAATTAAATGTTTCTAGATAAGAATACTGCTTTATGCTCGTAGTTAATAATCGTGTTTCTCGATAAGAATACTGCTTTATGCTCGTAGTTAATAATCGTGTTTCTCGATAAGAATACTGCTTTATGCTCGTAGTTAATAATCGTGTTTCTCGATGAGAATACTGCTTTATGCTCGTAGTTAATAATCGTGTTTCTCGATAAGAATACTGCTTTATGCTCGTAGTTAATAATCGTGTTTCTCGATGAGAATACTGCTTTATGCTCGTAGTTAATAATCGTGTTTCTCGATAAGAATACTGCTTTATAGTTAATAAACAAACGTCGCGTTAAGACTACTGCAATAAATAAACAAGTCTTTTGGTAAGAACACAGCTTTATAATTTTTGTTAAAAGCATATTGGTAAGAATTTTGCTTTAAACTCGTAGTTAATAATACATTGCTGTTGGTAATAATATTGCTTTGCAGTTACTAAACAAGCCTCTTGTCGAGAATAATGGTTTATATTGAATAAACAAGTCGTTTGGTTTAACGAAAAATACTTAAAGGCCAGAGAATGTGTGTTTGCTGAGATATCAGAGAATGTGTGTTTGCTGATATGTCAGAGACTGTACTGTGTGTTTGCTGAGATGTCAGAGAATGTGTTTGCTGAGATGTCATAGAATGTGTGTTTGCTGAGATGTCATAGAATGTGTGTTTGCAGAGATGTCAGATAATGTGTGTTTGCTGAGATGTCATAGAATGTGTGTTTGCTGAGATGTCATAGAATGTGTGTTTGCTGATATGTCAGAGAATGTGTGTTTGCTGAAATGTCAGAGAATGTGTGTTTGCTAAGATGTCAGAGAATGTGTGTTAGTTGAGATGTCATAGAATGTGTGTTTGCTGAGATGTCATAGAATGTTTGTTTGCTGAGATGTCAGAGAATGTGTGTTTGCTGAAATGTCAGAGAATGTGTGTTAGTTGATATGTCATAGAATGAGTGTTTGCTGAGATGTCATAGAATGTGTGTTATCTGAGATTTCAGAGAATGTATTACGTTAGATGTCTAAGAAAATGATAGATTAGATGTCAGAGAATATGTTAGTTGAGATGTCAGAGAGTACTTGATTTAAGATGTCAGAGAATATTTTAGTTGAGATTGAGAGTATTTGAATTAGGATGGCAGAGAATATGTTAGTTGAGATGTCAGAGAGTACTTGAATTAAGAGTTCAGAGAATATGTTTTTTGAGATGTCAGAGAGTACTTGAAAAAAGATGTCAGAGAATATGTTAGTTAAGATATCAGAGAGTACTTGAATTAAGAGTTGAGAGAATATGTTAGTTGAGATGTCAGAGAGTACTTGAATTAAGAGTTCAGAGAATATGTTAGTTGAGATGTCATAGAGTACTTGAATTAAGAGTTTAGAGAATATGTTAGTTGAGATGTCTGAGAGCACTTGAATTAAGAGTTCAGAGAATATGTTAGTTGAGATGTCTGAGAGTACTTGAATTAAGAGTTCAGAGAATATGTTAGTTGAGATTTCAAAAGTACTTGAATAGGGAGTTCAGAGAATATGTTAGTTGAGATTTCAGAGAGTACTTGAATTAAGAGTTCAGAGAATATGTTAGTTGAGATGTCAGAGACTACTTAAACTGAGATTTCAGAGAATATGTTATTTGATTTGTCTGAGAATATGTTATCGGAGATATCAGAAAATATGTTAAGTTTAGATGTCAATAGAGTATGTTATTTGAGATGTCATTAAGTATGTTATTTGAGATGTCAGAGAATATATTCGTTGAGATGTCAGCGAATGTTTTAGCTGAGTGGTCAAAAAATTTGTTAGTTGAGATGTCAGAGAATGTGTGTTGGTTGGGATGTCAGAAAATATGTTAAATGAGATGTCAGAAAATATGTAATTTGAGATTTAAGAAAATGTGTTTAGTTTAGATGTCATTGAGTATGTTAGTTGAGTTGTCATTGAGTATGTTAGTTTACATGTCATAAAGTATGTTAGTTTAGATGTCATTAAGTATGTTAGTTTAGATGTCATTGAGTATGTTAGTTTAGATGCCATTGAGTATGTTAGTTGAGTTGTCATTGAGTATGTTAGTTTAGATATCATTGAGTATATTAGTTGAGTTGTCATTGAGTATGTTAGTTTAGATGTTACCGAGTATGTTAGTTGAGTTGTCATTGAGTATGTTAGTTTAGATGTGACCGAGTATGTTAGTTGACTTATCATTGAGTATGTTAGTTTAGATGTTATCGAGTATGTTAGTTGACTTATCACTGAGTATGTTAGTTTAGATGTTACCGAGTATGTTAGTTGAGTTGTCATTGAGTATGTTAGTTTAGATGTTACCGAGTATGTTAGTTGAGTTATCATTGAGTATGTTAGTTTAGATGTCATTGAGTATATTAGTTGAGTTGTCACTGAGTATGTTAGTTGGGATGTCATTGAGTATGTTAGTTGAGTTGTCATTGAGTATGTTAGTTTAGATGTCACTGAGTATGTTAGTTGAGTTGTCATTGAGTATGTTACTTGAGTTATCATTGAGTATGTTAGTTTAGATGTCATTGAGTATGTTAGTTTAGATGTTACCGAGTATGTTAGTTGAGTTATCATTTAGTATGTTAGTTTAGATGTCATTGAGTATATTAGTTGAGTTGTCACTGAGTATGTTAGTTGGGATGTCATTGAGTATGTTAGTTGAGTTGTCATTGAGTATGTTAGTTTAGATGTCACTGAGTATGTTAGTTGAGTTGTCATTGAGTATGTTACTTGAGTTATCATTGAGTATGTTAGTTTAGATGTCATTGAGTATCTTTGTTAAGTTGTCATTGAGTATGTTAGTTGAGTTGACATTGAGTATGTTAGTTTAGATGTAATTGAGTATGTTAGTTGAGTTGTCATTGAGTATGTAAGTTGTGTTGTCACTGAGTATGTTAGTAGAATTGTCATTGAGTATGTTAGTTGAGTTGTCTTTGAGTATTTTAGTTGAGTTGTCATTGAGTATGTTAGTTCAGATGTTACTGAGTATTTCAGTTGAGTTGTCATTGAGTATGTTATTTTAGATGTCATTGAGTATGTTAGTTGAGTTGTCATTGAGTATGTTAGTTGAGATATCATTGTGTATGTTAGTTCAGTTGTCTTTAAGTATGTTATTTGAGATGTCATTGAGTATATTAGTTTAGATGTCATTGAATATGTTAGTTGAGTTGTCATTGAGTATGTTAGTTTAGATGTCATTGTGTATGTTAATTGAGTTGTCATTGAGTATGTTTGTTGAGTTGTCACTGAATATGTTATTTGAGTTGTCATTGAGTATTTTAATTTAGATGTCATTGAGTATGTTAGTTGAGTTGTCATTGAGTATGTTAGTTGAGTTGTCATTGAGTTTGTTAGTTGAGTTTTCATTGAGTATGTTAGTTTAAATGTCATTGAGTATGTTAGTTGAGTTGTCATTGAGTATGTTAGTTGAGTTGTCATTAAGTATGTTAGTTGAGTTGTCACTGAGTATGTTAGTTTAGATGTCATTGAGTATGTTAGTTTAGATGTCATTGATTGAGTATGTTAGTTGAGTTGTCATTGAGTATGTTAGTTGAGATGTGATTGAGTATTTTAGTTTAGCTGTCATTGAGTATGTTAGTTTAGATGTCATTGAGTATGTTAGTTTAGATGTCATTGAGTATGTTAGTTTAGATGTCATTGAGTATGTTAGTGTAAATGTCATTGAGTATGTTAGTTTAGATGTCATTGAGTATGTTAGTTTAGATGTCATTGAGTATGTTAGTGTAAATGTCATTGAGTATGTTAGTTTAGATGTCATTGAGTATGTTAGTTTAGATGTCATTGAGTATGTTTGTTGAGATGTTAGAGAATGTGTTAGCTGAGATGCCAGAGATTGTCTTAGTCTGTACGTCAAAGACTTTGTTCGTGCACAAAAATTGAGCTAGTGTAGAATTCAGAAAGTGCTCTTTAGGACACATATGGATATATGGTTAGTCGCCCATAAAAAGTGTTTATTTATATACCAAAGACTGTGTTAGTTTAGAGGCCAGATAATTTGATAGTGTAGGATCCGATGTATCTGGTAGTAGAGAATCTACTGAAGTTTATAATTTATTGAATATGTTAATGTATAACCCCTTGACAGCGTTAATTTAGAATCTAGAGACTAAGGCGCAAAAATTGCTTTAGTTTGGAATCCAGACATGTGCTGTTGCACACATTTTGTTGGTTTAGAATATAAAGATTTAAAGCATCTTGCATGTCTGCTGTAGATGTATAAAACACTTTAAAATTACAGCGTCAATAGGTCATTCAAAAGAAGCAGGCATAAAAACAGCAAACACTTGACAGTGATAGAAAGAAAAGACAGAGAAAGAACCGCTAAAAATGAGAAACGGAGAGAAGACTGGTCAACATAGATGGGGATTAAGATGGACATGGAGGATGGGAGAAAAAGACCCAAAATAGAAATCGATAAAGAACGATTACCGAGGTCTCGTATGCAGTTTAAGTTAGTTGCGTATCCTTTACAGGACGTCGCAGAACCAACCCCAGCAGATTTTGGCTGTTGGGGTTTTCCTGGGCAAGTTTACGTCAAGTAGTTTCGTATGTAGTCTAGAGAAATGAAAATGGTGATAATAACGGCAAACACATGTTGAGTGGTAGATGCAAGAGAGAGAGAGAGAGAGAGAGAGAGAGAGAGAGAGAGAGAGAGAGAGAGAGAGAGAGAGAGAGAGAGAGAGAGAGAGAAAGAAAGAAAAGAGAGAGAGAGAGAGGAGAGAAATAGAGAGAGATGGAAAGGTAATGTGAGTGTCTTTGATACGGTGTTGGAAGGTAAAAAACATAAACAAAAGAGCCAGAAAAAATACAACACTGTAAAATAATTGTAATAATAGAGTGTAGAGTCAATGGGAAGGGGCACGGGAGAAAGAGACGTTGAGATGAAGAAAGAGATAGAGAGAGAAGTGAAAAGAGGGAGAAAGAGAAACAAAAAGAAAGATTGAAAAAAGAAGGAAAGACACAAAGAAGAAATTGGAAAGATACAAAGAAAGAGATCAAGAAATTGACAAAGAGGGAAAGAGAAAGCGACAGAAAACATGGGGCAGAGTATATATATATGACATATATATATATTAGGGGCAGAGAAAAAGAAATACAAACACAGATGGGGAGAGAGATGAGAAAGATAAGGTTGAGACATATGTGTGCATATATATATATATTGGGGACAGAGAAAAAAATACAAACACAGATAAGGGGAGAAAGATGAGTAAGATAGGGTTGAGACAGAAGTTATATATATATAAATACATATATAATATATATAATATATATATATATAATATATATATATAATATATATATATATTCACACCCACACATGCGTGTGAGAGAACGAGAGAAAGAAGAGAGAGAGAGAGAGAGAAGAGAGAGAGAGATGAGAGAGAGAGACGAGAGAGAGAGAGAGAGAGTAAACGTATCTGCTCCTAGCCAACAATTGCTTCTTTTTCAGAGCTCCACCTACGATAGAAAAAAGCTGTCAAAAATACCACAAAAATAAAATTAATTTCAACCACTGTTGAAAAATAATTTCGGCGCGACTGCTTCACAGAACCAATATTCTTTCAGGACAATTTGGTGTCGTTTGAAAACCTTCCAATCCTAATAAGTGACACAGTATAACATTAGATTTCTAAAAATGATGATGACGACTTTTGAACAGACAGCCCCATTTGTACAAAAAACACTTTGTTTTAATGCTTTTCTATCTTGAACTCACACGAAGAGCTGTGTAGATGGTATTTATACTCCGCCCACACACATCTAATATTTCTGGCACAATGGAAAGGCCTTTGAAAACGCGATGAAATGTTTCTGTTTTTGAGTATTTGTTTGGGTTTTAACTCGCTCAGTAGTCACAAAAGGTGAGTTTAGTTGCGTCAAGAATTGACATCACAGAACTCGGGGCATTTCCATGCATGCTCCGTCCTCATCTTCAGCAGCCAGCGCAGAGTTCCAATACAGATGGTACTGGTGACATTCTGGTTACATATCGGTCTTGCCTTTCCTCTGAGTGCAGTGAGCCGCCCAGACACTCTGGTTACACCCAGGTGCCTCATTCTCTCCAGGCCATAATAATCTTCTATCTCTACTGATTCCGTTGCTTGTTCTCAAAGGGCCTTGACCACATCTGCCTTGTCAGGTATCAATTCACCACCCAGTGGTGCAGATCCAGCCAATCTGTCTGCCTGCTCTTCAGGGTTCCTTACCCATCATGAAGAGCAGGCACGCCGGCATGACCTGCAGAAAAGATCCAAAGTATGCTCACTACCAGTGACCTTTTCAGTGAAGCACAAGGTGAAGAGATATATCAAAGGAATGAATGTTTATGATGAGCAACCACAAATGTTTTACTTTCAGTGTGTCACAGTGAGACCAATTACGGCTGTTTGCAACGACGTGGGAGTGCATTAGCCGGAGAGGCAACAAATCAACAGTATGCACACAAATAAGCAAGATCTGTAAAACAGATGTGTACGCAAAACTCAAGTTCTGGAACAAAGCTAAAAGTTCAGAAGTTGACGAGCTACCAGAACTTTCCGTCTGGGTCCATAGACGAGGAACAGAAAGAAGAAGAAGAAGAAGAAGAAGAAGAAGAAGAAGAAGAAGAAGAAGAAGAAGAAAGAAGAAGAAGAAGAAGAAGAAGAATAGAGAAGAAGAAGAAGAAGAAGAGAAGAAGAAAAAGAAGAAAAAGAAGAAGAAGAAGAAGAGAAGAAGAAGAAGAAGAAGAAGAAGAAGAGAAGAAGAAGAAGAAGAAGAAGAAGAAGAAGAAGAAGAAAAAGAAAAAGAAGAAGAAGAAGAAGAAGACGAAGAAGACGAAGAAGACGAAGAAGACGAAGAAGACGAAGAGAAGAAGAAAGAAGAAGAAGAAGAAGAAGAAGAAGAAGAAGAAAGAAGAAGAAGAAAGGAAAGAAGAAGAGAGAGAAGAAGAAGAGAAGAAGAAGAAAAGAAGAAGAAGAAGAAGAAGAAGAAGAAGAGAGAAGAAAGAAGAAGAAATAGAAGAAGAAGAAGAATAAGAAGAAGAAGAAGAAGAATAAGAAGAAGAAGAAGAGTAGAAGAAGAAGAAGAAGAAGAAGGAAGAAGCAACAGAAGAAGAAGAAGAAGAAGAAAAAGAAGAAGACGAAAGACGAAGAAAAAGAAGAAGACTAACGAATGAAGAAAAGAAAAAACAGAGAAGAATGAAGTAAGAAGAAGATAAGAAGAAGAAAAAGAGAAGAAGAAAGTAAAAGAAGAAGCGAAGAAAGAGAAAGAAGAAGAAGAAGAAGAAGAAGAAGAAGAAGAAGAAGAAGAAGAAGAAGAAGAAGAAGAAGAAGAAGAAGAACAATAAATTAAACAAAAAGAAGAACAAGAAGAAGAAGAAAAAGCACAAGAAAAAGAGGATTAACTAAATCGGACTGACTATATCCCCAACAATCAAAGATTTCAGAAAACTTTACAAAATCAAAAAAAAAAAAAAA